CTGTTCTGTTCTGTTCTGTTCTGTTCTGTTCTGTTCTGTTCTGTTCTATTCTATTCTATTCTATATATTCTATGTTCTACATTTTGTTCTATTCTATTCTTATTCTATTCTATTCATTTCTAATTCTATTCTCTATATTTTATATTCTATTCTATATTCTATTATATTTTATTATTATATATTTTATTCTAGTCTGTTCTATTCTATTCTATTCTATTCTATTCCTTATTCTATTCCTTATTCTAGTTCTATTCTATTCTCCCCTCTTCACTTTTCTTTCCCCTTCTCCTTCCCACTGTGTCCTACTTTTTGTATTTTTTATATTTTATTCTATAATCAAATAAAATGTTGTTTTTTTTAAAAAAAGGGGGGATTCAGGACCGTTTTCTCACTCTTATGACCGTTACAACATGATTTACATGTCATGTGATTTACATTCGGATGCTTGGAAAGTGATTCATATTTATGATGGTTGCAGAGTCCCTGTGTGTGTCTGTGTGTGTGTGTGATGATCCCCTTTTGCAACCTTCTCACAAGAAAAGTCAACGGGGAAGCCAGATTCACATAACAGCTGGGTTACAAATTTAAACAATGGAAGTGATTCACCTTAACATTTACGGCAACTCGAAAACAGGCATAGGATTATTTTATGAGTTGACACCAACCGTGTGATCGGTCATGTTGACTGAGTGATCTGGGTTGGTTGAAGATGCTAAATCCATAACCTGTCCTTCTATGTCCTTCCAGATGTAGGCAGCTGGATTTACAAAAAAACCCTCCATTGCCTTTGGGTTCACTACGATGGCCAAACAGAGCCTTGGTAGCCCTCGAGTTACGACCACAATGGAGCCCCAAAGGTATGATGCTAAGTGAAACCATCCCACAAGGCTTGAACAGTGGTGGAAAAGAGAAAGGGTGACTTGCCAATTCTCCCAATTTCTCCTGTGAAATCAAAAGCAAAAGCTGTGGGGAGGGAAGGCAGGAAATGTAAAACCAACAGTCTGGCCTCTGAGCGGAAACATCTGTCAAAACATCCAATGGAAGCTCTTTGGAGTTCAAGTGTTTGGAAAGCCCTGGCATCTAGGCTTGCCCTTCTCCTTAGGCGATGTCTGCATAAGAAAACATGCAGTTGCAAGGCAGGCAGGCTGGCTGGCGTGGAGGGTGGAGAATGCCTGGTAAAATGGCCAAAGACACCAGATTAGATGGAAAATCCATTTAAAAATAAAATAAAGGGAACTAGGCATGTGTAGCTGAAGAGGGGAGGGGAGGGAAGAGATGAGAAGGGGGGAAGGAAGGGAGAAGGAAAGAGAAGTGAATAAGGGAGGGAGAGAAGGAAAGGAGAAGAGGGGAGAAGAGAAGAGAAAAGAGAAGAGAAGAGAAGAGAAGAGAAGGAGGGAAAGAGAGAAGGAAGGGAGAAGAGAGGAGAGGAGAAGAGAAGGAGGGAATGAGAAGAAAGGGAGAAGAGGAGGGAGGGAGAGGAGGAGGAAGAGAAGGGTGAAATGACAGCTGTCTTCCAGTATTTGAGGGGCTACCATAGAAGGTATTGACTTATTCTACAAAGCACCAGAAGGCAGAACAAGAGGCAAAGGATGGAAGCTTGTCAAAGAGAGACAGAGGGACCCAACCTGGAAAAAGAAGGAATTTCCTGACAGTGAGAGTGATTTATCAATGGAATGGCTTGCCTCCAAAAGCCGTAGAATGTTCCATCATTGGAGGTCTTCAAGTGGACAACCATTTATCCGGGATGCAATAAGGACTCCTGTCTTGGGTAGGCATTTGGACTGGAGGACCTTTTCAAGAGTCCCTTCCAGCCCTTTGAGCCTAAAAAAACAGGTCTAGCTATTTGCACCCATCGCAAAAAACAACCCCCCCAAAAAAGTTCTGCAAAGATTTTTCACTGGAAAGGAGGGTGGGAGAATTCTGCAGGTCTTTGCAGCAACCATAGAAGTTCCCTGGTTTGGTTGTTGTGTTTTCATTTGTTTGGGTGGTGCATCAGATGACGTTTGATATGTCCATTGCTAAAGACAAGCATCTCCTAACAGTTGTTATTTCCCCCCCAAAGCACTGGGGGGGAGGGTTGACTTACATCTGCTTACGAGAGAAGGGTGTTTTTTTCCAGATGTCCCTGACTTGCGTCTGTCCTGCAAGCTGTCTGTAAGGGACTACTCAGTTCTGCTTGGGAATCATGGGAGTCTGTGGAGATTCTCAGCCATCCAGGCCAGGGTTGTCCCAAAGGTGCCTTTTTTTCAGGAGGCAACTGGACTTCTTTCTGTCTTTTTTCTTTTGAAGGCGTTTTGCTTCTCATCCAAGAAGCGTCTTCAGCATGATGAGGAATGGAAGGGCTGATATTCCTTGCAGGCAGCTGGTCATTTGCATCCTTTTAGAGGGTCGGTGAAGCACTGGAGGTTTATGTCTATGGAGGTTCTCAGTCATCCAGGCCATGGATGTCCCAAAGGTGCTTTCTTGGTTTTTCTTTGAAGACATTTCGTGTCTCATCCAGTCAGAGCTGAAGAAGCTTCTTGGATGAGAAGTGAAATGTCTTCAAAGAAAAAACCAGCAAGTCCAGTTGCCTCCTGAAAAAAAAAAGCACCCTTGGGACTTGGAGGTTGACCTGTGTCTTCAGGATCACCTGAGTAGCGCAAATGATTCCTGTAGTCTGCAATTCTTTTCCCCCTCTGAAAATCCATTCCTACTCCCGCATCATCCCAAGGGTGTCCGTCCACCCCAAATTGTATAACTAAAAGACTGTCGACATTTTCAGATCATCAGCGTAGGTACAGTTGGAAGGATGGGATGGCCTTGAAAGATCCACCCACGTAATGTTGCATGAACATTTGCTCATGCAAAGCGCGCAGCAGGATGCGCTATCTACTTAAAGATTAAATCTTGGTGGGGCGGGGCCAAATCCAGAGGCAGAAACTACAACCCCCAGAGTGCCGTGCGCCTCTCGTAATGGCTTGCAGAAGCCTTGAAGGCTGCCTATCTCTTGTCTTGATTTAATTAACCCGGGAGAGGTGCGTCTCGTCAAAGGCGGAACCTGCTAGCAAGGGAGGAAGAGAAGAAAGCAAGCAAAAACTGAAGGATCGCATTAAATTCGCCCGCCTTGTATTACTGCTTTTTAGCTGGGAGGAAAAAAAGGGGGGGTGGGGGGGAACAAGCAGCGAAAAGAAGAAGTTGGGGGAAAAAAGAAGAGAAATCACGATGATGCCAGTAAGTCTATTTTCAATTTGCAAGGGTGGGGGTTTGGCTTTTTCCGCTCCTTTCTTCTGGAAACACGTACGAAATTAAACTCAGGTTTCCCAGTTCAACTCTTGGTGATTAAAAATGTCCTTTTGATATTAAAAAAAAAAATATCTGGACCGACTATGAATCGGTCGATCTTTTTTACTCTTGTACAACTTCGCCCACTTTTGCCATAAATGTAGCAATATGGAAACGTAAGGGACTCGCCCATTGATTTCAATCCTTTCTAATGCTGCCGTCTTTTATTTGGACCCCCGGGTTCTTTGCTCAAATAAAAATGTTTTGTTTGAGCTGTTACTTTGTCTTAGAAATTGTTGCAAAAAGAGTTGATATGCATCCAGGGTGGCGGTGACAGTTTCAAATTTCTCCCTGATCTCTTTAAATTGTTGTTTAAAAATACATTTGTTATACAGCCACTTCATTAACAAAGTGACCAAAGTGCTCAAGGGAATATAAACCAGAATGGTAGGCAAAGGTGTGATCAAAAACAGATGGCTTGGTCAACCAACTGTGGGACGCAGGAAAGTGGAAACCTAGGAACTTCTTAAGAGTTATGGTTCACCAAGTTCAGATATTAGATTGGGGTGGGGTGGGGGAATCTGGAGTCTGGTAGCACTATTTCCAACCAACTTTGTTGGAGGGGAGCTTATGGGTTGATCCTGATTAAAACCTTAATAGGATGTGCCGGTTGGACAACTGGCTACCAGATTCCTCAAGCTTTGAACCCCAGTTAAAACAGCTGTTTATTTATTTATTGTTTGTTTGTTTGTCGAGCATGTATTAGATAACAAATATAAGTATAAACAGGATTATTAATACATGAAATGGGTATGAATAAAAGGGGACATTAGGACAGGGACGGTAGGCACGTTGGTGCGCTTATGCACGCCCCCTTACAGATCTCTTAGGAATGAGGTCAACAGTAGACAGCCTGAGGTTAAAGTTTTTGGGGTTTGGGGGAAAACAACATTATAGTTCTCCTATTATGTCAACCAATACTGGTTGTCTCTGAACCAGACTCCCACGTCTTTGGTTCTCGAGAAGGAGAGACATTGCAAAAACTTCTGAAGATGAATTACACACTGTGTTCCTCTTCCTTTGCTCAACTGTGACAACAGAAGCGGGGAAACTGAGGACTCACACTATCACAACCCACTCCTTTCTGGGTAGAAAGTTTCTGAGGGTTTCTGCAAGGAACTTCCTGTCACAAACGCAGTTGTGTTACTTGGTCTTGGAAAAACAAAAGGTGTAAAAGTGAACAGAGCAGGGATCCCCAATTCCTAGGCCATGGCCCGTTTGAAATTGGCCCATGGAAGGGCAGGTGAATGCTCACGCACAGCTATACCTGAGCAGCAGGCAAATGCACAAGGCTCGCTTTGTGTGAGTAGGGGATACGTGTGCCATCCTAACTCCCCCCCCCCCCGCTGCCTCCAATCCACAAAGGTGGGAAGGCTGGAATAGTAAATAAGTCAGGCTGAAAGCAACCATTAGCAAAAATAGGAGGTTGAAACCCCATTTTGAGTGGGTGGTCTATCCTTGATCAGGAGTGAGGGGAGATCACATTCAGGGAGATGGATGGCTTTACATTTTGATTGGAGAACTTGCCAGAGATACCCGTTTAAGCAAGTGGGTTCAAAACCCTCAGTCTACATTTTGCCTCTCCAGAACTACTTGAATAAATCTGCGGCCTGTGAAAATGCAATTATAAAGGAGAATGTTTGTAGCTCAGGGCTGAAAGGAGGGATCCTCTCTGAGGTGGCAGAGGTTTCATGACCCAAACTGGGCAACATCATCTGTGCTAGTAGGGAGTGGGGTTTCCCTCTCAATTTATATTCTAGTGCCTTGCCCTGACAGAGCTGGGGGAAGCAGTCTAGGTGTTTTTTGGGTTGGATGATGATAACACTGATAATGTTACCTACCTAGTTGGGTCATGAAACGTATGCAAGAAAACAAGCAAAACCACAATGTATCCAGGCGTGTGTGTGTGTGTGTGTGTGTGTGTGTGAGAGAGAGAGAGAGAGAGAGAGAGTGACCTCCCTTCTAGCCATCAGGATTTCAATGGGTGTGGGAGAACCCCTTTTCTTAAACTTCCTCCTCCAGTTTCCTTGGAGTGGTTACATAAAGAGCCATCTGATTCGAGAGTCTTCCATCCAAAAACCCGCCTGGCAGATTAGGAAACTGTCTGCTTGTTGTTGTTGGCTGGCATGTTTTGTTTTTTTTCCCTGCCCCACTTGTGCTCGTGGTTGCCACACCTGGGCAAATCCAGCCTTGCCTAAGCACCTGTCCAAACCTTGGCAAACTCCAGGTAACAAGCAACACAAATGGCGGGGTTGGAAGACACGGCTTCCAAATGTTTTCTCAGGACTGAGGCAGGGAAGAGCATCAGCTGAAGCCAAACAGAGACGGAGAGGTGGTCCTTGCCTTATGACCACAATTGTGCCCAAGCCAGGAGGAGGAGGAGAAGGAAGAAGAGAAGGAGGAGGACTGCGGGGTCCTTGGTGTTCTCTGAACTTGGTGGTTTTCTTGACCTGTGTTGCTAACTGAACTGCAGTGATTCACTTAACCACGGTGGCAGAAGGGGCGTAAAATGGGGCAAAACTGTCTCGCTTAGCAGCAAAAAAAAATTGGGCTCCATTAAGGTCGTAAGTCAAGGACTACCAATATTGCATTGTTTCCCTTCAAAAAGGATCAACCTGCAAACACAGAGAATTTTGGGAATGGAAAGGAAAAGCAAGGATAAGTGTTGCGGGAATTCTTTTGGATGAGAAACCAATATTGCCAACACTTAAGTTTATAGTTCCACATTTGTCCCTAGCAACTGGTTTATTTTCTTATTACATGTTGTAATTCGGGCGGTTTGGATATCCAGAGGGTAGAATTCGGGTCCAGGCCCAAGGATGCAATTGATAAGCCGAAATTCCTGGAGGTTAATGCTTTGTGGAAAGACCCAGGTGCGTTTGCAAATACAACCCGGATGGGAAGGAAAAGCAAGACAAGAGGCATCAATTAGGTAGAGTAAGATGACGGATAATCATGGGTTACCCGTAAATAGAAATAGCTCACATGATCAAAAATTACCATATACAGAATTGGCCTATTGTTTCATACTAACCAGCTTGGCAAGAGATTATACGTGGACTGCCTCCAGTTTCCTACTAGTTGTTCCACTCCACCTGGTTTTATCCCATTTAGAAAATATTAATTTCTGGGGGAAAAAGAAAATTATAAATTGGCCTCCATTAACAATTATTTTTAAAAAATTATATGAGGTTCAATAAGCCTATCTGCTTATCTATCTATCTATCTGTCTGTCTGTCTATCTAACATCTATCTATCTATCTATCTATCTATCTATCTATCTATCTATCCATCCATCCATCCATCCATCCATCCATCCATCTCCATTTCTGTCTTTCTTTTTTTTCTTTTTATCTCTCTCTTCCTCTCCCCCTCCCTCCATCTATACGTATCTGTCTATCCTCCATTTCTGTCTTTCTTTTCTTTTTTTCCCTCCCTCCCTCCCTCCATCTATCTATCTCATCCATCCATGCATCCATCTCTCTCTCTTTCTCTCTGTGTGTCTATCTACTATCCATGCATCCATCCATGCACCCATCATCTCTCTCTGTGTCTCTCTTTCATCTATCAATCTATCTCTATCACAGGAGGTTTCCCAGGAAAAATTGGACACCCATTTGTCTTCATTAGTCGTATGGACACCTGCCTTGGGCAGGGGGTTGAACTAGAGATCTCCAGCCCTCTGATTCTATGTTCCTTGAATGGTTAGAGCTGTCCGATTCAGGCTAAAACAATGTGGAGGACCACCAGGTGGCCTCAAAGAATCTTTTCTGTATGCCTTTGCTGTCATGTAGTGGACACCTCACAGTCCACCTCTAACAGCACCATCCATTGAAATCAACTAATATCTAGCCATAAGAGACATACCTATTTACATTTTAATTTTGTCGGTTTTCTTTTGCCTCTCCCTTCCCTGACTCTCCTACAGATGCATTTCTTTTTCTCAGATAAAGTGATTCTCCTGTTTGACTTCTGGGATGTCCACAGTGCGGGAGGTAAGTAAACGAACTTATCTAAGGAAAACAGAGGCTGCCCAGCCAAAGATCGGTCTTTGAAGCTGGAGAGATTGTATTTGAAACCTGAGCTTTCACAATAGGGAGGGCCATTAGGAGTAATTTGCCCTCTTGACATGGCAGCTCAGATTTCCTTCAAACACTTGACTTGATTGGTTTTCCCAGAACCAAAAAGTGAAAGAGCCACACTAGCTACAAGATTCATAGCAACTGCTTTAGACACAATTCAATTGTTCTTGGTGGAATTCTAAGAGTTCTTTGAAGACTCTACATGTCACCAAAGATAACAGTGCAACAGAGGAGGAGAACAGCCATGAATATATTTTCAAGGATTTGTGTAAGTATGACTGTGGTGTTATCCATTCAGGCATGTCCACCCTTGGCAATTCTGCAGGCCAAGTCTCTCTCCACATCTTCTGATCGAGGAGGAGGAGGAAGAGAAGAAGGGAAGGAGGAGAAGAAGAAGTATTAGTAGTTATCCATTCATTTATGTCTGACTCTTGGTCAGACTCTGAGCCAGGTCTCTCTTCACATCTTCTGATCTTGCCCTGCTCCTTTCAGTTGTTTGATACTCTTGTTGGTATAAGCTTTGATGGTGTCCAGCCACTGTGTTCTTTGTCAGCCTGGTTTCCTTTTACCCTAAACTCTTCCAACCATTTGTCTGGAATGGCATAGGTTCTCCTGCCTGAGTAGGGGGTTGGACTAGAAGACCTCCCAGGTACCTTCCATATGCTATCCTTTATTAACCCCACCCTATCCATGTTTCTACTGTGTTTTAACAGGGATGGTGCTTTCCGTGTTTGTGATCATGCTACTCACCATCTTATATGAAGGCATCAAAGTTGGCAAAGCAAAACTGATCCAGCAGTCACAGACAGCCATGGCCCCCAGCATCAGTCAGGAAAACTTGAGAGAAGGGGTCTCCGTGAACTCCGATGTGGGGTCAGCCACCACATCTCTGAAGAAGTAAGGAAAACACTGTGTGCATGTGTCTTGGGTGTAATGTTTTCTGCCCCCTTCCAGTTACAGCTGGCGCATAAGTTTTGAAGCAGCAATGCCTGTTTCACAAGGGACACCTTTGTTTCAAGGCTATCAAGAGCTGAGCTGTGTTTGTGGTAACTCACAAACCCGCAAAACAATCCTTTGCTGGCCTTCCTGTTTATAGCACTCATGTTCTGAAAAATTCAAATTTCTTTTCAGCAAGCTGCCCGGTTTTTATTGTACATCCCCCCACCCCACAAAGGGGAATAGGAGGAGGGGGAAAGGGGAGGATTCATTACCAAAGCAGGCAACATCATCAGTGCTAGAAGGGAGTGTGGCTAATAAAGAGAAATAAGAGCAAACCCCACTCTCTTCCAGCACTGATGATGTCACCTAGTTTGCTAATGAAACGTCTGCAAGAAAACCACCTAGCTCAGAGAGCACCAAGGACCCCTCCTTTCAACCCTGAGCTTGCCTTATTCTCCTTCATTGTTACTCTATTTAGAAAAGATTTTTGGAAGCAATGGTCCTTCAGCCCTGCCTGTTGAAGTCCCATTATTTCCATTAGGTGAACCCCCAGGTGAGGCACCTACAGCAGCTGCCAACTCCAGTGTTCCAAGTTGTGTCCAGCATGGGTGTACAAGCTGGACCGTAGCCATGCCAGACAGGATCTTTTCAGCATCTTCCGTCTTCAGAGTCCTTGGTTATCAAAGTACCTTTGTGTTAATGGAACCAACACTGCCAAAGAAGAGATAAGGGTGTTGATGTAACCGTAAGCCTGGTTGAGATTGCTCACATGCCACGTTGTTGACCGAAAACCAAGACCCCGTGAAAGCACCTCTCGTGAACTGTACCATGCCATTGAAGTAGGGCGGGTGATGATGATAGAGTAGCTCTTGTGATTAACATGTGTAACCAGACATGCAGGTGAGCAGAAGACAGCCGTAGACAGTGCAAGATTTTCTGGAGTGAGACTACTTCTATGGCCCGAAAAGAATCATCTGTGTGCAAGGGTGGTTGTTATGGTGGCTTTAAGGTTTCCAAAAGAGGCAAGTTTAGAGTAAGTGTTGGGGCAGATTATACACTGCAGCTAGGAGGAATAGCAACAGCCATAGCACTTCTATGCTGCTTCACAGTACTTTACAGCCCTCTCTAAGTAGTTTACAGAGTCAGCCTCTTGCCCCTAACAATCATGAGTCCTCATTTTACCGACCTTGAAAGGATGGAAGGCTGAGTCAACCTTGAGCCTGGTTGAGAAATTTCCAGACAGTGGGAAGAACCATCAGTGGAACAGCTTCCCTCCAGAAGTTGTGGGTGCTCCATCACTGGAGATGAGATTGGACAGCCACTTGTCCAGAATGCTCAAGCAGGAGGTTGGACTAGAAGACTTCCAAGGTCCCATCCAACCCTACTATTCTATATTCTAAAAGGCCTAGTTGGCAGAAATCCTAAACAAGGAACCTCATTAAATTAACACCCTTAAATTTACAATTGGGAGGAATGGAAGACAAGACAGAGGGAAGCTAGTGGGTAGAACTTCTTTTTAATCCATTTACTTGCTTTCTGAAAAAAAAAACTTTTTCTTCTCCTCTTTCACAAGGCGTCTTTCATGGCACCTAGCAGAGACCTTACTCCACATGGCCCAGGTGTTTTTGGGTTACCTGGTGATGCTGGCCGTCATGACTTACAACACGTGGATCTTCCTGGGAGTGATTGCGGGTTCAGCCATTGGATACTTCATGGCGTATCCACTACTATGCCTCAGATAGCAGCACGGAAGCTTCTCGTAGAGACAGCTCAAAAGTGAAAATCACGCCGATTTTGCAACTGGAATGGATTCTATTGGACAAGTCCTCTCCAGCAGAGATCTGAGGTTCTCTTCGGATTTCATTTTATCTCTCGTCTTGGCTGGCACTTCTAATCCTCTAAAATAGCCATTGTGCTTCCAATTCCAAGTAATTTTTTTCCCTAAGTGCCTTAACACTGACTTTTCTCGTGTCCGGAAAGTTAATTTCAAGTAGTGTCCATCTACTTCCATCTAGGGGTAGAACACACAATATGATTGTCGTTGAGGTTGCCTCAACGTGTTTGAGATGGGGCAGCTCTGACTGAACTGTCTTTGGTCACCCTTAAATCTCATCAGCTTGATTTTGATTTGTTTGGAAAAATAAAGCCACCAGCAGAAATGTAGAAAGCGGGGAGGAAAGGGGGCAGATGTTGTCCCATAGCCTTAAAGGGAGTGATGGGGATAAATGTCCTATTATCTAAAGTACAATAAGCTTTGCAAACTTTGAAAGCAGAGTTGGAAAAAATTCCTTTGCCAACACCATGATTTGAAGCACTTTAATAGATCTGGTCTGTTTCTATTCTCAATGCTCATTCTGCGTTTTGACTCCTGTTCTCCCAGAAGTTTTCATGAAGCCAACATCCTGCCAGTTGAGATTATTCATTATTTGCCAAAAGACCTTTTTTTCCACAGGCTGGGTGACTAACCTAAGGAATTCAGGGCCCAGAAAGAACAATCGCAATCACTGTACAGATGTTTTTTTAAATACAGGAAAGTCCTCAACATACGACAATGGAGCTCAAAATTTTCATGGCTAAGTGAGACATTCGTTAAGTAAGTTTTGTCCCATTTTGCAACTTCTCTTGCCACCATGGATGAGTGAATCCCTGCAGTTGGTTAGCTGGTTGTTCGGTGAGTCTGGCTTGCTCGCTGACTTGGCTAGTCAGACGGCTGCAAAATGGTATCACAGGACCTTGGTACATGCTGATGGTCATAAATACGAATCAGTTGCCAAGCGTCTGAATTTTGATCACATGATTATGAGGCTGCAAATGGTTGTAAGTGTGAAAAACGGCAGTAAGTCCCTTTTGTCAGTGCCGTTGTGACAGCCACTAAACGAACTGTTGTAAGTCCAGGACTACCTGTAATTATTTAGAGGAGGGAAGAGAACGAGACAAATTCTTGACATGTTCAGGCATGAAGTTGCAGTTTTCTAACCTACATTCCCCCACTTGCATGTCCAGAAAGGGAGTTAAGGCATCACACATCTGGACAGTATCAATCAGATTAACACAATAAATCTCCCTGCTGGGGTAAAATTACTAGACTATCTAATTCAAATTAGAATATGATGGAGCTGAAGCCTTTCCAAGCATTTACCCCTTGTTTTCTCCAATCCCCATCTTGAGTATCAGTATGAACAGGGTCTGGATGGAAATGGCAGGCTTTGACGGTTTTGAACAGCCATTTGTCCAGAATGGTAGAGGTTTTCCTGTTTGAGTAGGGGGCTGGACTAGAAGACCTCCAAAGTCCCTGCCAACTCTGTCATTCTGTATTCAGAGATGAACAACTTAATAGGTTGGTAAACAAAGGTCTGACATTTTAATTTACTTTTACTTGTAATTCACTTGGAGAGTTTTAAACCAGTTACTTTCTCCCTGTAAAGAATGCTGTGAAGGAAACAGGAGATCACTGCCTTGACAAATTATCTGTGTTTAATTTGTTGGCACCCATTGAAAGTGTTGAACATTTGTTTCTTGGGAATGAAACATTCCAAGGAATTCCAGACTACTTCATTTTGCTTCTAGACCGTGATTATCTTGGAGAGGATGAAAATTGCATCCCAATTTTCCCCCCCGATCATCCCGATATTGTAGACTCTGGGAGATAAACGCAGAATCCCTTGGAATGAAAATTTGCACATCTCTAGTGCCTACTAAAACTATGTTAAAAATGAAGCAATTATGACATGTATTTTTTAAAGTCCAATAAATGTATGAATAATTCTCTACGGATGCTTTGTCATTGAGTAGGTTAATAGTTTTAAATTAGTGGGTAGTCAGTTATCACGTCTTCATGTATGTGTGTCTAATCGCGCTACAACTCCCCCCACCCCATTCAATTTAATTGTCTGGCAAAGCCAGGCAAACTTAACAAAATTGGTTAACACAATTAGAATAGTATTCTCTGCCTCAAGTTCAAAAACTCCATCTCTTGAAAAATGATTCACCATACATTTTAGTAACCTTGAAAACCAATTGAGAGAGACTAACGCAGCAAAACTGCCGTCTTTTAGCCAAATGTGGTATAAAAGAGGAGATGGGGTGAACTAGGATTAAATAAAGCTGAATTTTTTTATTAATATATAAGCACATTCTCTTAAACATTTGATATAAGATTTGCAATATATACTATCTTTGTTGAGAGAGAGAGAGAGAGAGGGAGAGAGAGAGGAGAAAAAGAAGCTTTGGTTCCCAACCATAAGGCATTAAAAGATGGTAGAATCCAAGTAAGAGATTTTCCCTCCTTCTCAACTCTCTGAAATCATTTCAAAGAGGAATTACTACAAACATTAAAAAACAACAACAGGCAGAGTGAAACTGGAATGTTACAGCAGCAAATCGAGATGAGGTGGGCAGTGTTGAGGCATTTGGATCACGGGCAGTTTTCCAAGGAGTCTTCCTATTTCTCGATCCGCTGAAGATCATCCCCCTTCCTCAGTTGGCACCACAATTTCCTAGAAGTTGAATTCCAATCATTTTTTATTTTATTTTTGAGATTGTGGAATTCCCCCCAAAAGAGCAATCCTCTGCCAGCAGATCCTAACTGACTCAGCTTTGCTTCCCCCATCCATGAAAACAGAGGACGGGAGAAAAACCAACAAGGTCATTTCCTTCTTGAGGGATGAAGGCCCTGGGGGAAATTGGTTCTTGTAGGCCCATTCATCACTCAATCCAGTCAATGCAGAGATTCTTAAGACAGAAACTTTCGCCACTAACTTGGAAGAGGACCGTGGCCTTCTCAGAAGACAGAAGAAGCTGGCCTTCCCTATCAACACTGCAGAGAAGATCCAACCAACACCTCTTCCAGAACAGAAAACATCCAGATGTTGCCAGGGTTCTGACTCACTACCACTTTGGGGATGCTCTCAAGACAAGAGTTTGACGGTAAACGAGAATAAAGTGGGACCTTCAAGGAGGTAAAAAAAAAAAAAATCCCAAGCCCAACCATATTGTCCGAAGTCCTCCAGGGATGGATGAAGAGATGGATAAGTGGTAGGGATGTGTGTATAAGTATATAAACGTGGATTGGAATTGGCATCTTGTAATTCCAGTGCCAGAGGTTGGAAGCTCAGCGTGGCTTCCAACTTGCAATCCACTTCACAGATTCAGAAGGAAGGGGAGAGGGAAATCGACTTGGTGTATAAAGGCAGGGTGGGATTCTGAAGGCCACGTTCCTGATCCCCAACCTATTCTTTCACTTTTGCCCATGTCATGCAAGCAGGGATTGAGTTCCTATTGAAAGGATGCCAGTCATCCCTGCAAGAACACAACTGAATTGCTAAACGTAACTGTCCAGGAACTGCCAAAGCTAAAAGAAATCCCATCTTCCCTTTTGTGTCCCCCGATAATCATTACTGCCACCACACCAAGTGCATTTTTTTAAAAAAATTATTGGAACCTCGATGGCTTCACTCTAGGCTGAAGACTTATGCGTATAGGATCTCTCTTTATAGGATCCTTTTGTAGGATTCTCTGCTGGTGGCTTCTAGGGTCATTCTGCTCCTTTGCTTCCCTGGGAAAAGGGGGGAAATACACAGACAAACAAACATTAATTCAGCAGAGAACCTGTGCAGGTAAACCCAAGGATGCCTGAACAGGCCAAGATAACAAACTCCTTAACAAACCTATATTAGCATGACATATACTGGTTACTTGTTCTCATGGAACATCCTTGACTGACCAATTAAGACATAAGGTCCTCAGCCAGCAGTCCTCACTGAAATAATTTAAATTCCTATAGCAGTCTTCTCATAACCATCAACTTTTGCCGGTCTGTTCCAAAATCAGCAAGCCTTCGATGATACACACCCCTTTCTCTAGCTCACATCCACGTGCTTCCAAAAGTCTGCATGCTCCTACTTGCTTTCTCCTGAAACTAAGGGCTCTTCATCTCTACATAACTAGCAAGATGGATGCTGGGGGAAGAACAACAATTGGACCAACTCCCATAGCAATTCTAGTGCTAAACACATCTGGAAGAGGAGGTCCAGAAAAGGATAAATTTAAGAGATAACCATTCCTAATCGTGAACACTGGTGAGGGGAAAAGAGAACCCCTTAACAGGAAAGAGACTTCTACCATCAACAGTTGGAAGAAGACAAAGGGATGGGACCATCAAACCAAATTATGGGTCAGAAAGTCAAATTAGTACCAGTCTGGATCAAGATGGAGAAACCCAATGGCTTCTCTTTGTGTTTCAACGCTCCAGGCATGTGTTAGCATCTAAGATGAATGAAGTCCCTTCTCCAGAACACCCAATACAACAATACAACTTTGAGTCAGGAGAACTTGTGTGTGTGTGTGTGTGTGTGTGTGAAACGCTCCAGTTCAAGACTAGAAAAATCACCCCAGACCCAAGAGATGTAGAATGTGCATTCTGGAGTTCCTCACTTGCCCTGCTTTCCCTCCCCCTCCTCCAAAGGCAGAACTTCTCCAGAAGAATCAAGCGCATCTAAAGTTGGAGATGCTCCTATACCAGTCTTGGATCGACTTGCCTTTGTCCTTCCCATCCCACAGGGTCCCCCAGTTCTGGTCTCACACCCCCCCCCCCACGCATTTATCTGGCCGTGAGGAATCCTCTTCCAAGGGGAAGGCTGATCTAGAACTGAGTTTGCACCCCTTCGCTTTCGTCTGTGACCGTGTGGCTGTTCTCCAGCGGGATCTCTGCTTCTGCCTTGCTGGCTTGGGCAGAGACCTCTTCCTCGCCTGTCTCTTTATTGCTGGGCTCTGGGCATTCTGCTTGGACTCCTCTATTTGGAGCTAGGGGTTGCGTGGGGGCAACTGGAGAAGGTTCTGGGGCTTCCTGTTTCTCTCTGTTGAGCTCTGTGGAGGATTCCATAGTAGGAGAACTATCTTCTGCTTGAGAGTTCTCCTCTTCCTCCTTCCTTTTGCTGGGCTCCGGGGTTCCTCCACTCTCTTGGGTAATAGTACCATTGCTTAATTGTTCCTCAGCTTGATTGCCATCCAGAGTTGGGACCTCCACCTCTTTCACCAGCAACATACGGACCTCCTTCACAGCGTCCAAGGAGTCCTGGGTCTGAGGACTAGGACAGTGGTTGGACTTCTCTGGTTCCGAACCATCTGGCGATCTTTCCACTTCATCATAAGGCAGAGCCTTTTCATCCACGTGTATCATGGAGACCACCTGCTTGGCCCGGTGCTGCTTCTCATCCAGGGGGTCTGTGTCTGATTCACCACTGTACTCCTCCCCCCAGTTGATGGGTGTCCCCTCGCCAAGCAGGTGTAGGTTGGGGTCGCTGTTATGCATCACAATGCTGTCCCGGTAGAGGTTGTGCTTCCGCTGGACGGCTGCCTCTTTCACGGCTGAAGTAAGCGTGTAAAGAAAAAAGGGGGAAAAGAGCATGTCGACAGGCAATTCTCCCAAGTCAAGCAAGAGAACCAGTTCTCCATTCAAACACACACACACACACAAACACACACACATCCCAGGAGCAAACAATGTAAGATCAGCCCTGTAAGAACGTGCTGTTGTCTAATATTTGGAATGTTTTAATCCATGCAATTGACAGTGGGACCAATGCAGATGGAAACTTCTGTATCCTAAGCTAAATAACACTTAAGGCAATATTTTCCAACCAATGTTCCAGAGAACTATGGTATTGTTCCTTTACATACAAAAAAACATGTTGGTTGGGAGAATTTCATCCATCCATCTGTCATAAATCCATCCAACCATCCCCCTATCCATCCATTCACCCACCCACTCACCCATCATCCATCCATCTACTCACCCACCCAACTACACACCATCCATGCATCCACCCACCCACCCACCCATCCATTCAACCACCCACCTATCCATCATCCACCCACCCAGTTTAGAATAATAGGAATTCAGGGTAATATCTTTGGAAGGTGTCAGATTGGAGAGGTGATTTACAAAAATGCCCCCTGCTACAGTAGGATGTTCAAACAGCATCTTTCCCTACCTGGTTCCAGTCAGTTACAATCCCACTCAATCAAAACCGAACCAAAGTCTCTTACCCATCATGATATCTTTCATCACAGACTGCAGGACCACTTCTTCATACGTGTTTTCCACCAGGATGAAGCGGGCAAAATCCTCAAAAATCAGCTCCTGGAATCTTGAGAGGTCCTAATGAGAAGGAAAAAAAAATCACAGTTGAGAAGCTATCATGGACCTAAGGCCCACAGTGATACACCCTGTAGGATCTGCTCTTAGAAGAAGAGTAAGACTACACCTGGAGTCCTGCATCCAGTTTTGGTCATCACTTTGCAACAAAGTTGTTGAGACTTTGGAAAAAGTGCAAAGAAAATTAACTAAGATGATTAAAGGCCTGGAGACTAAACCATATGAAGAACAAAGAAGAGGGGGTTAACTTATTCTCCAAAGCACCAGAGGGCAGGACAAGAAACAATGGATGGCAAGTAATCATGGAGAGAAGCAACCTGGAATTAAGAAACTTCCTAACAGGGAGGACAATTAACCGGTGGAACAGAAGTTGTGGGGGTTCCATCCCTGGAGGCTTTCAAGAAGAGACTGGACAGCCACTTCTTTGAAATGATGTAGTCTCCTGCTTAAGCAGGGGCTTAGACTAAAAGACCTACAAGG